TCGGATCGACTAGGCAGGCAGCAGGAGCGGAGGGTTACTTGTTCCAGAGGACCCCCGCCTCCTGCTCAATGAGGACTAGACATACATCCGACCTAGCAGGCAGGCTTGCGTCAGGCTGCAAATGCATGCTCGCCCTTGTGAGCTCTGCATCTGGCCCGTGCAGTCCCAGCAGCTCTGCTGCTACCTGCTGCCAGAGCCTCCCCTTGCAGATGCAGGTGTCAGGCTGCTACCCAGGGAAGAATATTAATACGTACCAAGAAAAATGAAGCTCTTGGCAGGGAGGCTCGTCAGACTTGTTCTGGTGTCCTGCTGGAGCGCCCAGGCAGAGCTCACACCCGCAGGGGTCTGCTGGTCTCGAGCAGGTTGTCCCACCTGAGGCTGGGCGGGGGCTCAATGAGCCCATTCCCCGCACGACCGGGAGTGCAGTCTCTCGACACTTACTCTGCTGGGGTGACCAGCTGCTCAACACTACAGAGCCACCTCATCTCCGCATTGAGAAGCCCCTTCCCGTGGCTTCTCCAGGAGATACAGCCACATTTCTAGTGCAAGGGCAGACCGTAGCTCCTGGACACGGATCAGCAGAGGGGCACGGCAAGCTCCCAACAGAGGAAGCAGGCAGTAGTGGGCCACACTGCAGGATGGACTTCCACACCTGACACGGGGGCCCTACTAGCCAAAGAAATACGCTGGACATTAATGTGTTACCAGATAAATTACTTATTAACTAGAAGGGAAAAAGTGCTTAAACCCGTAACAAAAGTACAGAATATAATAGTGAGGACACCACATTGCCACTGCCAGAATAGGCTTGCTTCCGCATCCTACTCTCTGGCCACTGTGTCTAAAGCAGGTTCCAGTTCAGAGACAGGCAACACAAAAGATGAAAGGCCCGGACACAGCCTGATACGAGGAGCGTGACAGACTTGGAGAGCTGGCAAAGAAGCTAGCTCCTAAGACAGACATAATACCATAACGCCTAGAAGAGGACCAATAAGTTCAGGGACGCCCTATTTCCGCTTCCAAAGTTCAGACATCAGGAGGAATTTTCTAAGACACAAACTGCCCACTTGGTGTTTAACTACGGCGTCCCTCATGAGCTGCACAGGCTCCAGCTGCCGACTGCCCCGCCACGCCACGCCAGCCGGACCACGTACCTGAGATGCTGCTCCTGGCCAGCAGAGCCAAGCTGGTCCTGCCTGGCGTCTGGAAGGCGCACGACAAACTCCAGTTCCAGCCACGGCACTGGAAACAGTCACCACTGCAAAGTCATTTGGCACAACATTCACCAGACCTGGCTGCACTGTAAGATAAAGCAGCTGTACCAGAAGGCAAAATACACAGATCAGAGAAGCGGCAACACCCCTGTGGTGCGGGCCTGCTGTGAAGGCCTTCCTAGTGCAATAAGCATATTACTGTTCTGCACAAAAGGGCAGGAGCTTCTCTTCAGGAAGGAAGTGGGGAGGAGGCTTTTGCAGAGCCAAGTCATTGTGAGCATGGTCACAGCACCTCAGCCTGCAGCAAAGCAGAAGCAGTCCACTCCTCCGGGAGCCCTTGGAGAAGTTGCCAGGGAGCTATGCAGCGAGCCCACGGATGCCCCCGCAGCACAGGGCGCAGGCTGGGTGAAGCCTTGGCCAGCAAGTGCTTTACTATCCTCAGGAAGGAGGAAGTGTCCTAAAGGGGCAGGGGTTCCTGGTGCACAGCTGACGAGTGCAGCGAGGGGGCTTTGGCATCCTCAGGACATCGGCTGGAAGCCCTGGGAGGGGTTCCCACAGCACTGGGGTCTGCCCGGCTCTCGTCCGGCCTCCCCAGGCCACGTCCTGCTGACGAACCTGCCCAGCAGGGAAAAAGACTTAGAAACCCAGGCCACGCAGTCAAAGTCTTGCCCTGTCACCATGTGGCTGTGGCAAGCCCAACAGCTGTTGCGTAGTGAGATGGTGCAGAGGCATGCCGCACCTTCACGAACGTCTTCTTGTGCCACATGGCTGCAAGCCGCCTTAGCCGTGCGCACGTAGAAAACCTTTCACCAAAGCAAGGCTGTTGCTTAGCTAGCAAATTACATGGACCCTTTTGTTGAACAGCCTTGGGTACGTGGAAGCCACCAGCACTCGGTGCCGTCCTCACCAGTCTGCTCCTATGAAAGCTGCCCCAAGCCCGAGGGGAAGGGAGGGGGCCGGGCAGCGGGCCAGCGCTCTGTGCCAGGGCTCCAGTGCCCGGTCACCGCGACACAAATCAGTCACTGAATCCTCCACAGCAAAGGTCAAACTTTTCTTCTTTCCCCGTGGTGGTGAGTTGGGGGAAGGGAGGGCAGGGAGGCCAGGCTACAGGCACCATTTGGATGGGGGCTTCTCTTCCTTATCTTTCCCCTTGCTAGGAGAGTCTATTACTTCCTTTTGCTGCACCCCTGGTTTTCTTTTGATGTGGCAGACAAAGGGTAATGACGTCTATTAGCTCACTACCTGTGCAGCCATAAATATGGGAACAACTTAAAACACTTTTGTAATGGCACAAATGAGACCTAAGGCGACATCTGTTCCCGCCAAGAGGCCGGTTCACAACACAGAACGAATTCCTGAGAGCATGGCTCATGTAATCAGTGCTTCTACATGTTCCTTTCCAGGCACAACCATGTCTGGGCTGTAATTAAAATATCCCTTGCACAAGGCTCACGGGAGCTGCCTGAACTGTCACCACCTTTCCGGTTTCAGTGTAACGATGTGGGAATCTGTGCAGCCTTCTCTGCGCTAGGACCCCCTAGCTCATTTAGTTTCCTACCAAGGCTCTAAACTAGACGCTAGCAAATCAAGAGCAGGTAACAAGCTGTGCAATACACATCTTTGCCCAGGTGTTTTCCAGGCCAGGACATTCTTTTTAGCAGACTACTTCTGTTCAGGAAAGACTCCTTTTGGAAAAGCAGCTGCCTCCCCCCATGGCACTGTCCACAGCACAGCTTGGCAAGAACACCGTGGGCACTGGGAGCTGTCTGGGAAGTGCTAGGCAAGGGATGGTGGCAGCCTGCAGTACACATTAGACCTCAGCAGGCATTTCTCAACGTGTGGATCTGACCCATGCAGTCATCTCTAGCCCAGCAGGGAAAATCCTGGCAAGTTTCCTTGTGCCATCCAACCAGACTGCCGACAACGGGAAGATCTACGTTTCAGGAGCACCATGTACCCCTCAGTATCTGAACCCGACGGCTGCAAGCAAGCATCTCCTGAGGCTGCAGAACAGGAAGCAACAGGAAGTGACTTGTTTGCTGATTCAGGAAGAGAAAAGGAAAAGGGAGGAAAATCTGTTCCAGGAGCGGGGTGTTCTGTTCAGTGCCAAGGCAAAGCTATTGCTATGCCATTTAGCCGTGGTTCCCAGCCTCCCGCTAGACTCTTCGGTGCTCCTAACCTGTCTCGTCTCTTGTGCACAGGCCGCAGCAGCATCAGGTCCGGACTGCAGGCAAGCAGGGAGAGCAATCCCACTTAGCAAGTTTGGAAGGACTTCTTTCCTGGGCCAGACCTTCTGTTCTTGTCATATCTGATTTACAAGTGACCATGCTTTACTCACCTTTGAGTCTGCTGGCCAGCGATGTTACTGTTTAATCTCAAACACAACAGATGGATGCGCATGACCTCAGATGGTCCAGTTCCTTCGGTGTCTTTCATTTCCGCTGTCAATGCATTTTACTGTTAATGATGCAAATACTTTGCACGTGTGGGTTAGAGCCCAATTCACAACCAAATGCATCCGTCCATCAAAGCAAACAACTTCTTTTTTTTTTTTTTTTTTACATTAAAGTATTTAATTAGTGAAACAATCATTATCAATGTAACAAGCTGAAAAATACAGCAACTTGATACAAGACTGAGGTAACAAAATACTTTGCCAAAAACCTAAAGACTCCCACACAAGGGTTAAAAGTTCAGTGGTTATTATGGGTGAGACAATTCACAAGATTTATAGAAATAGTCCTTACACAAATGGCATGCAGTGGGCTGCTGGAAAATACGGCCAAAAATAGTGCAACAGGTTTCACACGAAACAAACTGAAATATAGAAATTGATTTACTATGTAATGTGACAAAGAGATCATCATTTGAAAACTACTGCCTATGCCTCAATTGAGTGCTATTCAGAAAACACGCATTTTGGCACTAAATTACTTTAAAGTACACACACTAATAAATTAATAAATAATATTGCCTATATATATTCCATCTGAACGTATTCAACCTCAAAAATGGCTACCAAGGTCCATTTTCTGCACAACTTCTGCAGCTTCCTTGTTTGATTGATGCCACTTGCCTGGTTTGTGATACCCTTTCATAGCGGTGATATTTTGACCAGTACCAATGCCTATTACTTCAGTGGCAGCTTTCAATTCACAGTAAGGGTGCCAGATACTGAGCACTAAAAAGAAAAAAAAAAACAGTAGCTAATTATAGCACTAATACTTTATTTATATTTAATAAGAATTCATTGGAGCCTGGACAGGCTACCATTAACATTCCTGTAGCATCATACCACTGTGAACCTTTTTACCTCGTCAGACAGCGGGCAGCCACATCACAATGATCACAGTGTCCTGCAAGGCATGTCCTCTCTGAACGCCCTAACAGCGACCAAACTGGTCTCTTTTCAGTGTGGCACTTGAGCATGTGTCAGATGCTTACGGCAAGGATTTCTGTATCGTTTGTGAACCAGGAACCTGCACAGGGGCATTGCCTACATTAGGGTAAAAGATCAGGACAGGGTGGGTTTAGCCGTCAGGGTCTCATCCATGCATTAATATCATATCCCTTCTGTGCAAGCTGGTTTCTGAACCCATGCTGAGCCATTAGAATTTGCTGGCTTCAAAAGGCTAATGTTACAACTCCTGTTTGCGCATGTTGTTTCTATGGGTAATGTGTATTTTAATCCTGGTTGCTTGAGGGGAGAGTTTATCTACATGTCTGCTGTCCTCATCCTTCTACACACTCTTTTATTAGGCAGCCTGGAAGTACCAGTCTTGTAGGAGTTGACTGCTGGCTATGCATTTATCGGTCGCTCTTTGAGTTTTGCATTATGTCACAAGCAGCTTTCATTGCCTCTGATCACCGAATGGCTATTTATTCAAGAGAACCGTTTGGTTCTTTATAACCCACCTTCCAAAGCCATTGTACTGGGTGGACCTCTCCTCACTGTAATCCCAGAAGCTCCAAAAGCCTTTAGCAAAATGACATCCTCTAGGATAGTTAAGACCCATGTTTACTATGCAAAAGGGAAGAGGTACTGTATTTAAACACAGCTGAGAAGAAGCCACCAAGCTCCATGTAGCATTACGTTCTGGATCTGCCTTAATTCCAGCAATGCAAGGACAGGTCAGGGTCACGGACAGCTTTGTTTTACTAGCGGGTGGTGAGTTAGCGAAGGGTGAAGATCTTTAGGCTAAGTACAGACAGTCAAGAAGCCTGAAATGGAATAGAATCAATCTTTGCAGGTTAGTCAAAGCTCCACGGGTTGAACTGATAAGCAGGTGAACAGACATTCACTTTGGATTGTGGAAATGCAGCCACGCGCTGCTGTGGCCCCGGCCAGAAGCTGGGGGTGCCAAAGCACACCTCCCTGCTGGGCTGAAGCAAGCAGACTGGGCCAAGGCTAGCCCGCCCGCCCTGCAAGGGAGGGTTTGCTGGGAAGGGGCAAAGCAACCTGGGATGCTGGCAGACGGTGAGTTAACTTGAATCTGGAGGGGATCTGGGACAGAAGGTCAATAAACCGAGTTAACCTAAATCAGTTAAATCTGACACTACATACATCCAGGTTTATCTTAAACCAGTTTCAGCCATTTTGAAAGCGGTTTATGTGCACTGAACTTCTGCTGTTACAGATCTGAACCGGTTTCTGATCACTTACACTGGTTTGTGTGTCATTTCTGACCCTAGTCTTAAGGTTCTGGGTTTAAGACAGAACTAAACATGATAACAGTGCAGTCGCAGAACGCTGCCGATTTCTCAGATGTGTCTGATACGTCAGCGCACACCCCGTACAAATATATTCCGCTTCGCTTTCGCTGCCTGCGTGCTCATGAACAGTTCTAATGCATCGCTCACTGCAGCCATCCACACATCTTTGTCTAGGAGAATAATTCACGAATGGTCCATCAGTAGTGACACGCTCGGGACAGGGCCTCACCCTCGTCTCCTTAAAAATCTTCTGTTAGACCTTACTTTGTCGGTAGCCCTACTCTTGGGTGGACAGCAGCTGCTGGGTTAGCTCTCTCTCACAGAGAGTTTCTGAAATGGCAAAAACCTAATGTTTTTGTCACTCCTCCAGCTCTGGCATCTCTTGAAGCCTCATAGATTACTTATGCCCAGATCTGCGCGAGTCCTTACACCCATCCTATCTGTCCACACAGGAGCTACTGGGAGCCGCTTTTCTTCAAAAGCTGGTCAGGTATGTTTAATTCTCAGGATGATAATGCTGTCAGTTAAAACAAAATAATACTTTATAGTCAACAGACATCCTGAAATGCAACGTTATAAATACGATGTTTGTAAGAGAAGCACATTTAAAATAAAAAGCTGCCAAAAAATCATGATTGAGTGATATCAGTAGAGTAACCCCGAGACACAGCATTTGTTTTAACACTGGGCTTTGTTCACCCAGGATTACCTCCGATTGCCCATGGATTACAAGGTGATGATGGTGGCTTTCAAGGTTCTCCCACCCAACCCACAATTTCAGCCCGTGCACGGGGAGCTGCGGGGCACCAGGGATCAGGAACATTTGGGAGCCCAGCCAAGTGCAGGATGGAGGATTTGTGCAATGACTTTTACCTTGGTCCCTGTTCAGCGAGGCCTGAACACTTACTTCCTGCAGCAGAAATGGCAAGTGTTGGAAAACGGGCTGAGCTCTAAGTGGAAACAGCAGAAGGCTCTGACCAGCAGGCAAGTGTCCGGCACATGCGGGGAAAGCCCTGATGTGAGGAGGGTTTTTCTAGGAAAGAAGGCTCTTGAGAATTTCAGTTTACTTTCTCTTTTCAGGACACTGGCTTGGGGGACTCCACACCCTGGCAGCTGCTTCACTGTCCCTCTGCCCTGCTTCGCTCTCATCTCCATCATCCTTTCAGAAGATCAGAGGGCTTCATGACAACAGGTACCACTGCCTGGGGTCTGCACGCCACTGACACGGTGTCAGTGTGGAGATGGGGGCATCCCCCGGGGGAATGCTTAGTACCACGCAATTCAGAAGACTTGAACTGCTGCATCCCTGGAACTAGAGACTTCAGATGAACAGCACCAGAATAAAAGGAAGCAAAACACATCTGCAGGCAATTACAGCACTAGTAAGAAAGCCCAGGAAAGGCTTCAACACAAAGTGAATTTAAATAGCAGTGGACCCATCACTTGTCTGGGCATTCCTCAAAATTATACTTAAAAGCAGCACAATCAAACAAAAGAAACACTAGGTTTAGTCGATTATCCTGTGCCAAAATACACATTTCCCAAATAGGTCAAATGTGAACAGCAGAATCGTCCAGAGATTTGATACAAAATTTGAGGCAGCCACATTGCCAAGCAACTCAGTGCACTTAGGTTATAAAAATGTTGTTTCACAATGTTCTATTCTAATTGACACTTTGCAGCAAGTTAACACTGTCAATCGTTTTGTGCATTAGAAAGAATTGGAAACCCAACATGGGCTAAATGTTCTTCAGTCACATAAAGCAGCTCAACAATAAAAAGAACAGTCTAAAAAAAGAATAGGCAGAAGATGTGATGCACAGTCTGTGGTCAAACATTAGTCCAGGGCAGTCTGTGACCACAGGGTTAAAGTCAAGGGCTCGAGGGTCCTCAAATCAGGACTTATCTTCAGTCTGTCTAAACTCTACTTCTGTTCAGTGCATGAGACTATATCTGGTCCTAAGGACAACATTCACTTCCTCTGCTTGTAAAAGCTGTGTCCAAATCCCTTTCAAGTTACATAGGAAAGTGCAGAACGGGCAGCTGGCTCACTTCAGGGACTGCCGCCACCTCACAGAACGACCATCCCCTCCTGCAGTTTGGCACTTGACGTCGCACAACAGACCAGAGCGAGTTACTCGAATGACATAAGGTTGGCAGGTACCTGGAAGAGAATCCAAGTCAGTCATCAGTGGAGAACTCCAGGCCCTGCTCGTGACAATGAGAAATGGTGTCAACCCACTCCACGTTGCATGGACTGCCAGGTGCTGACAGCATGACCGACCCCAGAACCGGCTCTGCTTGGGGCCAACCTGCAACGCAGGCACAGGGCACTGCCCTGCAACCTGGCAGGCAGCCCCAGGCTCTCAGGTGACCCTCCTTGTTCAGTGCACGCTAAGGAGTTGCTGTGCTCAGTCTGGGGAAGCAAGGGAGGCCTCACATCGCACCTCAACCACCACAGCTCATGGCCAGACTGGCAGAAGCTCACCCCTGCCAGAGATTTCTGCAGATGTCCCAGAATGTGGAATCTCACTTGTCCCACTTTGGTCAACGAGCAAGATGAACTGTTGTGAAAATAACCTGATGTGCCTCTCTGTGCAGCCACAAGGCTCACACACGGGCTGGAGGGAGGCACCCCCACGGGCAGGGGACTTGGGAGAGAGAGAGAGACGGGGTGGCAAATAGATGTTAACGGCTTTACCTGAGGCCTGTTGCTTTTGCAGGCATCATCCAAATGCTTGTGCCACAGTATTGCATGAAACCTTGAACCAGTCTGAAATTTGTAAACATTGCCTACAAAATTAAAGAAAGCAGAGCCCTAAGTTTGTGACTGACAGATGTGCACTTTCACTAAATTATAACCTCTCAGCACAGAAGACAAGAGTTGAAGTAAATACATTCGTTTGGGTCTCAAATGCCCAGAACTCCTAGTTTCCACAGCAAGCCCTGGAGATAAGGTGGGGCTGGGGGAGCGTGTGAGAGGTGGAAGAGCAGGGACGTGCAACAGACTCGGCGAACACGTGGACAGTGGGGCCACGTAACACTGAGGTATAATCAAACACACCAGTCTGACCTAACTCATGGGGTGCCTGGTTTCACTTGCCCAGTGCATCCAGGCCCACCCTCTGGGCTGTCTTCAGGGATGCACCCATTGGTTGTGAACCCATCTCCTTTGACAGGCCGTTATCAGTTTTGTCAGTCATCTGCATTTCTCCTCCCCAAAGCTCCTCTGCAAGTCAGAGACAGAATCCACTCCCTTTACGCTGCAGGCACGTAGAACAGGTCAGGGGATTCAGAGTCCGGAGATTTAGCCCTGCTTCATTCAGGCATGAGCTGCCCCACCTGAGTAGCAGGGGGGAGGCACGGGGGCAGACGCCACAGAGCAGCCGAGGGGCAGTAAAGCCCTGCCCTCTGTTAACTGCATACACTGGGGTCACTGTAGGCCTGAGGGAACAAGAGCCACAATGGGGCTCATGACCCCACTCAGACCTTCACAACTACCTGCAGGAACACCACTCCACGCTGGGAACTGCTGATTCAGAGGTCATGTAAGCCCCTCTTGGAGGGTGACTGACTGAGGAACCACATGAAAACCACAGACCTGCAGGGATGGGCAACGCTGGCAGCAGTGACATGCTGTGGCTTCACGCTGGCAAGTCATTTCTGCGCCATCTACAGGACCTCACCAGAGCACCCTTGTGTCTCCCTTTGAATATCTGCTTCTTTATTTCCCAGTGTGGCATATTGCAAATGCTGTAAACTAAAAGTGCATCAAAAGCTATTGCTCCAATCCCTGCCACTAGCGTGTAACACAGAGAAGGGACATCACAGAGCACTACCTTTATCAGGGTTGTTGAGCTGGAAAATATCCGGGTGTTCAGGATCATCAGGCAGGGCCACCATCCAGCCCACAATAGAGACTTTTTTACCAGGGGTAGATTTATACTGGAAGAGGCAGACAAAGGAGATGCAATTAGCAGTCGTGCAGTCAGGCACTGGGCGGCCTGCAGGTAGATATGCCAGCTGGGAGCAACCATGTCTGCTCAAATGCACACTCCTAGTGCTACTCTCTAGAACAAATTTCGTGTTTCTTTACTTACATGTTTTCTTTCTGTGCCTCTTAATGACTTTGCTCCGAAGTAAAGAAGGGTTGATCCTGAGAGTGTAACCCAGTATCTAGTCCATGAGGAGAGCTGAATAAGGAAGGAGAAAGTAGGAGAAAGTATTAGTGTGCTTAGATGCTCTGAATGCCAGCAGACTATGAAGCACCAGGAGGACTGCCTGTACAAAGGGCAGGAGTTTTGGGGCGGAGAGTGCTAGGGCCTGAGTCGCTGCCTGAGTACTTCAGCATTGTTCCCTCCATGTTGGTGGTTATAAGACTGCCTGATGGAGCAAAGAAAACCCACACTGTCCAACTGTCTTTTGACAGAAATCCCAGGACTGATCATTTCAGAGCAGTGCAGTGCAGTGCAGTGCAGTGCTGCCCTCATCTGGACACAGCTGACGCCTTCTCCTGCCGTCTGGCCAACGTAATTCATCACGCGGCTATTCTACAGCTCGGCAGACCTTCTAGGGTTGCACACAAACCCTGTAAGCATCCAAGGCAATCTGAAAACTCCTAAGACTGGAGTCTGCTTGGTTTCCACTGTATTATTTTCTCCTGCCCCGCACAAACCAGGACCAGGGAAGAGTCCCTTGAATTTGGGCATGTGAAGGGCCTGAGTGCTTGGGCGGAGAGGGCCAGATCTCTGCAGTCCTCCGTGAGCCTCCTGAAGAGCCAGTCTGTCCTGCTTCACTGAGACACAAGCCCTTGGTCCCCAACAAGGAGAAGGATCCTATAGCCATGGATGCTAACAAGCCCTACCCACCCAGCTGATGTTACAGAGAGCTGCTGGCCTCTGGCTCTTCTGTCCCAGCCCAGCAGTGTCACTGCCAGGCTCTCAGAGAGGCCTGCTGCAGGGCAAGCACTAGGGGGAAGGGGAAAAAAATCTGGCCCTCACTCTTGAACAGCAAGTGGTTTTGCAGCAGAGCAGAGGAACAACACAGTGGCCTGCTTCCTGGAAGAAAGTTTACTGTGCTGCCTGACCTGGGCCAGCACAGCCGTTATCAGTGTAGGATCACTGTGAAGGTCCAACTTACAGTAGGTTTCTTGCCTTCTTTCAGCAAAGTTTTCCTCTTCAACGGCCCTTCCATGGTAATGACCCCTGTGGAAGTCCCTATCGTGCAGCTGCAGGCTCCTGTTGGGCTGAGAGACACATGGCATGCACTGAGGTGAGCAGACGGAGGATTGAGTTGTTTTCCCTGGCACTGGCTTGTCCTCACAGCATCATCCAACAACTTGGCTTGGGGACACCTGCTTTCCAGAACTATCGAAACAACCAGAACTAGTACGTCTAAAACTGGCGGCGTACTGCAGAAGCCTGGCGAAACCTGGAAGCACCATGCTACGCTGAGCTACGGGCACATGGTGATCAGTCCGGAAACAGGGAACCTTTCCCCAGAAGCTCGGGCTCGTACTGTTACTGCGCACAGCACATTTACGTACGCTTGCATATGGGGACACAAACGCCCAGTCCATGCAGTTCTGTTCCAGCAATACTATACAGCAGGTCACCAGTCTGTGCTGGCCTTTCCCACAACCACCTCCCAGCTGCCATCTCCTGCTCCAGTCTCAGTTTCTCCATCATCTTCTCTCTGCTGTCTGTCTCAATCTCTCCCTGCCCAGCCGGTCCCAGACCTCATTCTGCCCCTCAGTTCCTTGCCAGGTTCATTTTCTCCACCTTTCATACTGGCTCTTGGTTCCAGTTTCCTTCCTTTCCTTCCAGCACCGCCCCTGATCTGTTCTTGCAGGCATCATCCAAATGCTTGTGCCACCGTACTGCATGACACCTTGAACCAGTCTGAAATTTGTAAACATTGCCTACAAAATTAAAGAAAGCAGAGCCCTAAGTTTGTGACTGACAGATGTGCACTTTCACTAAATTATAACCTCTCAGCACAGAAGACAAGAGTTGAAGTAAATACATTCGTTTGGGTCTCTGTGCACACAAGCCAGGGTCTCCCTGGCTCCCAGTTGCACTCTGCTTGTCCAGCCAGTTCTAGCCTCCAGCCCCCAGGCCCTAGCTTGATCTCTGTCCTCCCTCTCTTCAAAGCAGCCAGCCTCCAACGTCAGGCTGCCTGGGTGCCAGACTGGGGGAGCCACTGAAAGGAGAGAAGCACGGGAGAAGCAGACTCCTTTGCTCTTACTTCGAGCACCCAGTCCCACCTCAGCCCAGAGGAGCTGGGAGCAGACAGACACTACCGGGAATACTTTGTTCCGCCTCCACAGCTGGTACAGGCTCAGTCACACCATGGATCAGCAGCATGCTCTGCCTGAGCACACGCAGGAGCCATCGGAGGCTGCAGCATGCCCAATGAAGGCAGAATCATCAGAGTTTTAAGTTGTTTAAATCAGACTTTTCTTCTGAGCCCATGTGAATCATGACTTTTTTAAAGTTTTGTATGTAGGCCAAACCCAGGCAGTTTCGCAGGGACAGCTCCAAAGCCTATAGTTTTCGAAGTAGACTTTTTGGAACAGAAGCAGATAATGTTCTGGAAAATGGCTGAACTGCTTTGGGTGAAAATTAAAAATAGTCAGCCAGAGGCATGCATTTGGTATGGAAATTTTCTGCTCAAATGCTGTAATTTTGGGAAAGTTCTAAACAACTGAAAACACTTGTAATGAGAACTGTTGGGCAACCTTAATTACAGGCACTGCTACCAGCCCTGCCTATTAAACCATATGGGATTAGACTCCATGAGATACTATATCAGCTAGTTGACTTAGCCACTGTGAAACGCAACTACTTCAGCTGTGGATTTTGAAGCGTACAGACCCCTACACAGTGGGACTGATTCTTCACAGCCTTGCAAAACAGTTTTAAAACATGATCCAGTAGCATTTTCTACCCACTTTGCACAGATTCAACTAATTATCCACAGTGTCAGGCTGTGGTGATTTCAGCCTGGAAAAGTGATGCTCAGTTTTTGTGGGCTGCTTCTACAAAGTCAGATGCTAGCACCAACCGCTGGAAACGCAGGAAACGGGGAGTGAACCAACACAGGGAGTGAGCAGCGAAGCTAACATCTTTCAGAAGTTCATGGGACAACACAGATTTTGTAGCTTTATCCTGACAGAACGCAAACAAGATTCTGGCTTCTGGCAACGCTGAGCAGAAGGCAGGGTAGATCTGCACCTTCTAGATAACTGCCAGTAAATTATATATATGAGCATAAGCTTTTGTGAGCTGGACATATGGGCAGCACCCCTACCCCCGCTCCCTTCAAATAGCTCTTTTTGGGGAGAGTTACAATGCACTTGCTCTAACTTTGCATTTTGTCACTTTAAACTGTAAGTGGAGAATTTCCCCCCCAAAAAAGTCAAGGGCCTGAACCTGTTTCCATGGAAGCAATATTTGACCATTTTGCTATTTTATTTCTCTTGCTTCTTGGACCATACAACTCAGGGTAACAGAAGCACTTACAAAACTTGTGGTTTTGACACTATACATTGTGGAAACAAAGAAATCTAGTCAGACCTGCTGCATTGTAAAATAAGCGCAACATTCATTTTATAACGGAGGACATCAAAAAAACACTTGTGAGATACCCAGCATGTGGAGACCATCACTGATGAAGAGGCATTGGGAGGGTGCATTCATACTGTGTAGCATTGGTTTCATACCTCCTACCAGAGGCCAAACCTTAGCATGATACACCTACAATCTCTCCGACTTTACCAGACAATATGGAATTAGTATTTCTAGTTTAAATCAGAAATTGTGACAGTGAAGGGTCAAAAACCCACCCTTTTAATTACTCTGTGCAATTAATGATTTTCTAAGAGCTAAATTCAGCAAAAAGAGCATCCAATTTTCATGACAAGCCTGCTGAAGAAATAGCATGAAAAGCCCTAACCATTCAGGTTCTGCAGCATGGACGCTGGACATATGTACTAGCTGAATCAGCGCCTAAACTCCCTTCCTTCCCCTGGATAAGATGATACGAGTCCTACTACCATTACCAGAATCTTTGTGCAGAAATGAAAGGGAAAAATAGACCTCTGAGGGTTACCACAAGCACACAATGATAGTTTTAAAGAGAAGATGCATTTGGTTTCCTGAAGGAAAACACAAAGACAGAAATGAGAATTCGTGACTGCACGCAAACAAAACAGACCCGCACCCAGCCGTACCTGTAGACACAGCTTCGACTTCGCGGAGAACTCCGAATCGGTACCCGCCAGTTGGGCCCCAGCGTGGCGTACAGCCGACCCCTGCGCGTAAATTCAAAGGTGAGGTCTTTCCTGATATCAACTTTATGGTAAGCACCACCAAAGTAGCACGTGACAGAGGCAGAGGGAACAATGCTCTATGGACAGCAGCACACCTCGGGAATGGAAAACATTTCAGTTGCGTATCTTCAATTAAAAAAAAAAGCGTATTATTTCCCCTATCTGTAAGTTCAAAATGTGTTTATGGGAGCAAATCTATGTGAATGGACCAACAGGTTCAGACGCAGGTTGGGATTTAACGTGGCACATGCAGTTGACATTTAAGAACGGAAAATAATTCCCTGCCAACAAGTTTGTAAAGCTGTTGTCCACTGCTCAGACTGCACATTTCCTTTTACTTGGATGTATTTCTGCTTTTATGTCTAAGAAGCTGCCATGCCAGACACTCTGGGTTATCCATGTGTTCCTTTATATTTTATTTTTGTAATGATACAAGCAATGAGACATACAGCTATATGTTACAGTTATGTTATTTAGGACACCTCAGCTGCTATGTGAATATATGCCATCCTCAAAATGGTATAGCTCAGTGATACCTAGTGAGGTGGCAGTTCATAAGGAGTACTTTGGACACGTATGAAATGTGTAACTGGGGACCCTTCCTGCTTGTGCCTGAAAAGCGTTATAAACTTGGGGGAGGATATCTTGCAAGAGTTCTGAAATGACTGGGCACCAAGTGGTGGTCAGGGGATTTAGTCATTTTAACTTCTGTATCTAGCATCAAGCAGGAAACAACCCTGACTTCCTGCAACATCTTATCTGAAGCTGGAAACTGATTCCTTGTATTCAGTCTTCCTGTACCATCTGTACTGAAAGCAAGTAACTCCAGATCAGCTCAGGAGCACACATGAGCTCTGATTATAAGGTTTGTTGTTTTAAAAAAATATATATACATTAAAATGTATGACTAGGATTTAAATCAATACTAAATATCCTCTTGGAATATTTAATATCTCTGGCATTATTTCAGTCACTTGTGATCACAACATTTTGTGTCTGTCTGGGCTTTGATATTACCTTCCTCCTATAACTACATGTTAATGCACGGTTAAGATTACTTCTAAAAGCACAGCACCCAGGCAGAAGGCAAAAGGTTTCGGCAGAAGCCCGAGCTCTTTCAAATTTAGGAATGACATTTCCTTAGCTGATTTTATGATCTGCAGAACGAGAAGGCTCTAAGCTCTTTTAAACTGCAACACGGGAGATTTGTTGGGTCAAATACCCACTCCTCTGTGGTCTACATCACTGTAGTATAAACACCTAGGACACTTCCTCTCATTAAGCCAACCAAGAGCCCCATTCAACGGAAAATTGGGGGTGTATAACTAGAGGAACACTGTCCTTCTCAGAATTAACCCTACAGCTGGCTATACAAGGCAGTTACACAAAGGGCAAGTGAAGTACAGAGAGGAGGCCTTAATTCAGATCTTGCATGTTCTTCTCACGGAGAGTCTGAGAATAATGTAATTTTTATAGGACAGTTTAAGGAAAATGGAATAAACAGTAAAATGAAGTCTGCTATTTTATAGGTGCAGTGCAATACAGTCAGCCTTGGAAGGCACATGGTAGGCATCCTTCTTGCCACACGCGCACACACGCGCATGCGCGCACTGCTGCCCTGTACTGATATAAATACCTGAGACTCATCTGCATCTACAGTAGTCACTTTGGGAGTTCACTTTTAGTTCACCAAGCAGAAGCCTATCTAGACTGCTGAGTTTTGTATTCTGCACTGCACTGACGTGGCTAGTTTATAGCTGAGGCTACCTGCAGCAATGACAAGTCACACTCATTGGCACCCCTAGTAGATATGCTACCCAGAACTCTGTAGTAATGCAGCTTCACCAGGAGAGCTGTGCAAATAATTCATTTTTCAGTTTAGTCAATATACTAAAAAAATGGAAATCTTTTTTCCTTCATTCACCTGAAATGCAAAATTTCAAGGTTTTTTCATGCCAAAGTTAAAGACAAGAATCCCAAACTGCAACAATTTTTCCCAGGGTGAATAAAATATTCCGTTTGACCCAAAATGAAATGTTTACAGCTGTTGGCTCAGGTGGTCCCATCTCCTGCTTATGTTAAAATAAACTATGCTATAGCTTTCATTTTTGCACAAAATGCAAGCTTAGTAAGCTTAGTATAGTAAGTAGTAAGCTAGTAAGCTTACTAGCTATACTTTAGTAAAGTATAGCTTACTAAAGCTTAGTAAGCTATAGCACTTACAGCATTTCCTCCGCAAGCGCAGGCTCCACAGCCAGACACAGGATAGCTGTGTTTGTGTGGCTTGGTGCTTGCATTAATTAGCTCTGCTGAGACGCGAGATTGGTCAGCTCCAGCTCAGCACTGCGTGAACGTGGCTATCCTGTTTCCGGTTGAGAAACCAACACATGCAGAGCTTGCTCGGGGCTGTGGCTTGCCCTGCACTGGTTGCCACGCTCCATGTAGACATGCCCCCAGTTTGATAATAGGTGCCTTCATCCCTCTAAGGGTAATGCTCTGGAACAGCACCCAGCAGCACCTCCGGGGGCAAAAGCCCTGGGGGTTTCAAGATGCAGCTTTGTCAGCTCAGGGAAGGGACGCACCTGGCTGCCTCTGTCAGGACTTCTGAGGTCCCTTCCTGAGCCATTCACTTTGCCTTACTAATGAGGCAGTACTTAGGTGGTAGTCATAGGAACAGAATCTGCTCTCCCCGCTTCCCCTTACTGACCATGACTTTAATTTTGAATGGTCTCAGACTAAACTATGATACTTAGGTTGCATTTGTTCCAAAGGCTTTCTATTTCTAAAATTAGCTGATCAATGATTTCATAGAAATTTGATACAGAATTTCCTGTTTCAGACATTTTCACATTACTGAAATATCCCCATTCTGGCAGTTGCAAAATAGTGTATTAGCACCAACATAAGCTGCAATTCCACGTGATGTGAAGACAATGAGTTATAACTCACCTTTCAAGCCCTGAAGACAGCTCCTCACTAAATTCTGAGCTTTCACTACTACCTAGAAAAGGAGGAATACAGGTAAGTGAACTGGTTAAGGAAATTTAAAATCCAAGAACCTGGATTCCTTGGAAAATTGTTACATGACATCGTGGGAACTGCACATTCAAGCTATGTCTGAGTGAATGCAAACTTTCAAGATGAAGATAAAATCTGACACAGGAAGAAGCTTGCAAGCTCCTTTCCATTTACAATGCAGTTTTGATGAACAAGGTGGCTGCTGCTGCTGCGTTTTAAATATCAGAAATTTCAATATGTTCCTTTTTTACTTTTCCTTTCAGAACCTCCACGCTGCCAGGAGACGCGTCCGATCGGTCCTGCAAAGTGACTTGCGATAGTTTCAAGACCCCGGCACGTAAACGAGCAGCTCTAGGAGGCGAGACCACGGCTTTCTCTCTATCAGCTGGCAGAGTGTATAATGGGGAGGATGCTCAAGCCATACGTTCTTGTTTGAGGCACTGCAAATTAGCCAGAGCCCGTTTACAGCTCTGGCCCCCTTAAATCACTCCTCTCTTGTACCTACCCTGGCAGAGCCCTGTGGCTGAGATGCATATGCAGAAACAGGCCTCGCCTGTCCATGGCTGACCTGCTAATGTTTAGTATATTCCTGAAAATCTGTCTCTCCATCCCACATTTATCTTTTGGTCAAGAACTTAGAAATAAGTTCCAAGATCTTATTGCTTGAGTGAAAGTCCTTCAGTCTCCTCTCTACTACACAGACAGGCTAGGTCACATAAGAAAGTGACTTTCTATTGCCAACCCTACAGATTATTTGTGATGCATTCATTACTGCAAGACCCTGCTGACACCATTCTCTCTCTTCTGCAGAGTCCTGTTGACCCAGATGAAGTTTCACACCAGTCAGAGCTCCTTGCTGCTAGCAAACCTGCACGTGGAGGTAAGCAGAGTTTGACGATTTAGCCTCTGGCTGAAACAATACAGACTTCCAGTTTGATGTGGTCATGAGGTGGCTTGGCAGGTGAATCTGGGACTGTGCCCACCAACAGTAAGCTTAAACCATCTGCAGCAGCACAGTGAGGAAGTCAGTTGAAAAAGAAAGACTTTTCAGCTTCTGCTTCCTCTGACTGTTCTCACAAACCAGAACCGGGTCTCGGCTAGCAGGCCACACTCATGAATGCAGATGAGATGAATTAGGGTGGATGTTAGATGGAACTTTCTTGCTCTGAGGGTGGTTCAGCCCTGAACAGATCAGGGTGGGGTGGCGGGGAGTGCAGTCTCTCCCACGGGGGAAGGTGTTAAGAGAAGGTTAGACAAGGTTTTAGCCAGGGAAAACCCTTCCCTGGGCAGGGGGTTGCACTAGATGACCTCTCGACAGTCCTTCCAGCCCTATTTGTCTGTGATTCTAGGGCTAGAAACAGGGACAAAGCTTTTTATTTTGAGATCCTACAGTCTGTTGTCTATGTGAAATATCCCAATTAACACTTTGTCTCAGGACAACCGCAGCTAATTCCAGTTAACTGCCATTCAAGTTGAGTGTGTAAACGACTGTCCCACACCCATTTTGATACTTGTCAGAGCCTGGGAGAATCAGCCCCAGGATAAACCCAATGTCTGTTTTTAGCTCACTGCAGATGGCAGGCTTTGGAAGGCACGCTGGTTTGAGGGAGTAACTTCCTCAAAACTGCAAAGTTTAATAAACCCCAGGTTACCTTAACCGTAAGAGCATCTCTTATCAATGCTGCTCTTTCCTCTTTTTTGCTGCAGTTTGCTCAGGTGATGTTAGTTCCTACCCCATCGTGCCTTCATTATAAGACAGACCTAGGCTGACCTTAATTTGTTTTAATGAAAGCTAGCAAAACTTGCTAATTTTACTGTACTTTCTAAGCAGGTCTTTGCAGTAGGGGCATTCCTTTTGCAAATACCGCTCTCGGGCTAATCCTCTTTCGGCTGATGAAGAGTGTTGGACATACACGGTCTGGCCACGGGCAGAACACCCTCCTGCCATCTCCATCCTGTTCTAGCAAAACCAGTGCGAGGGGTGAGGATAGACTGACACGGCACAGAAGCCGAGCGTGCAACTGAGAAGCAGTTCAATCTACAGCACCGCCTGCCACAAAAGGACCGGTCTTGGCTCAAAAGCTTCTGCACTTCTGCAGTGTGAGGGGCATCCCGAAGCCACAGACACACAGGAGCAGGTATTTCGCCCGCGACATTGCTCTTACCTATGGAAATGCCATTGGTGAAAACCGAGTTCAGCGTGTGGTTTCGGACAGGGCTGTGGGACTCAAGGACGCTGTCGTCCAGCAGGTGGCGAGGTTTCTCTGTCGGGAACGTCGCGCTTTTACTTTCCACTACGCTGAACTGACACATCATACTGGAAAATTGGAAGAGAAAAAAATGTGAATGCTCTTATGTAATCTGATAACATCCATTCACTCCTGCTTTTTCCACTCAGACTTTGTCTCACCACACAACGACCATAAATGTCAATAAGCTCTTAAGTAGCAGGCAGTTAAATGGGAGTTCTCACATTTTCCTACCACTTGTTCATATGCTGCTACAAATACCTTCACAAAGCCTTGGATTTTGGTGGCCTATACAGTCAATAAAGGTATCTGTGCAGATGGGAACGCATGCCTTCGCTTTTATTTGGTCAGGCCATTCACTGCCAGAAACTGTGTGATCTAGTGGTTACAGGCAGGTAAGGGCAGGAGACAAAGTGATCCTGAGCTAATCCATGGCTAAACGTTTCTCAGCTAACCTAAACTAATGCGCAGGCACAGCGGGACCTGGGGACCTCCTCTTCCTTAATTCACCCACTTGTGGTGAATGTGGGAACCTTAACTGAAAAGCAGATGTTGTCACCGAGCTGCAATTTCCTGGGCAAATGGTGAAGAAAGAATATCTCTCACCCATGCTCTTCAGCTAATGTAGCGCAAAAGGCCACAACTTTCCTGAACATCAGCGGGTGCCAAACAGACTGTGAATGTCCTTGGATGGCTTAGCTGAAAATCTGTTACGCACATCAGACATCCACCCAAGCCAAAGTGGAAAGGGTAAGAATGGCACTGCTGAGCTCTGCCAGCTTCTTCTGGCATTAGCAGAAGGCACAGCACCAGTCCAGTGACAAACCAGTGTCAAGACATCTTTGGGGAAAACCCTGGAGCACACAAGCAACGCCTCAATCCTCCTGTGGCACTAGGAACGGGAAAGGGGGATAAGAGAGAAGCCATCTAAAATATCCACAAGCCTTCAAGATCTTGGTTTTTGTTTGTTTGTTTGGGGGGG